TACGTAATACTCCTGTTGTGCTATCTTGCCTAATTTTAATTCACCTAAGTAATTCACTGATTATCTTTAAAACATGTTTAAAGCGGACAATGCGGTTGGCGAGAGCCCCGCTTTTAGGATATCTCCCATTCAGGCAGGATTAATCTCAACATAAACTTCCATTCCGACCCTCGCGCTTTATACCACGGTGTTCCGAAAAGAATGGTCGATCGCGAAGAGGATGAAATAGCAAAAAAAGAAGAAGAAGAAGAGCTAAATTAGAAGGAGAAGGATGTGTGTGGGTTCCTGTATATGTACGAAATATTTTGCATTTAAGATTGATTGCTTCGTGAAAAGCTCCGAGAAGGAAACTTCTGCACGGCCATTTACTAAGTTTTTCGGTTAAGGGTTGATATTTCATTTTCTCTTGTTCTCCTCTCACTCCCTCGCCATGTTTATTCCTGTTTTTGTTGTTGTTCCGTTCCCTCATTTTTTTCCCCTTTCTTCTTTTGTTTGCTCCCTTTTCATTTCGCTTTCATTTCGGAATAGTTTCAAATCCATTTACCGCGCGCAGATTTGCGGGGGCCCAAGTAAACTCATAACGTGTCAGATGGAAGGGATGTGATTACATTCTCCCAGTTGGAATACTTTTATTGAAAACGTTTATGCTCGGACAGGCGGATCAGCTCCACATTCCTAAAATTTTCGACAGGAGAAATAATTACTTTTTACTTCCTACATGTATATATTAAAGTATAAACATTTTGGTACTGTACAGTTTTTTTTAATGTCCTTATTCAAAAGGTGGTGCAATCATTTTTACTATAAATATGTTTGTACTTATGTGACAAACGCAAAAAATCTTGAACATTTTTTTAACACAAAAAATTATGTTTTGATTTGTTAGTTTAAATTTCTAATTTCTTAATAAACAATGAAGTATCAATTTAAATGAAACCTATAGAATAATTGAGGTAACTGATTTTTTTTTTATTGAAGCAACAGCTGTCGAGACTGGTATTTTTAGAAGTAAAAACAGGTATATCAATTTCCAATGACGGTTGAAGGTCCTCCAATGATTTACACTTGGCAAAGTTTCGCCAATGCAACAGTTATGGTATCTTTCTATTTTCAGAACCAAGGAACAGGTGGTAAATGTATCATTTTCTATTGACACTTCAACTTTCGCCATAACTTCTAATATTTGATTATCTCGCATCTTAACAACTTTAATACAGTCTTATAATGTCTTATACATTAATTTTTTAATTAGTTTCAAACATTCGTATTTAAACTACATAGTTGTTAATGTATAAAAAAAATATTCTTCATCACAATTTTAGCGAAAATTGCAAAAAAAGAATCGAAAAAATTTCCTATTTCCAATTTTTTTTCTATTTATATTAAATATTGTTGCAAACATAGAGTCCGGATGTAGCTTTTAATTTTGTTTGGAAAATATAGGGATTTTGTCGATTTACTTTTGGGAATTCATCAGAAATAAATCCTGTATTTAGAGTGTTCATATTATAATGATGTCATTAACAATCTAAGCGTCCTTTCTTAGTAGGAGAAACAATTGAAAGCGTTTCAATTCAAAGTAAGTCGTTGTCTCGGACCCCGACGTTATTTTTATGGACGAGTACTCCAAGAATGAGGGTCTTGCTTTGTCGCATTCCATCGGCTCCACTCGAAACTAAAAAAAGGAAAAGAAATAATGAATGGGACAATGTTGTCCCATTAATGCCAATCGCTCTTTTCCAAAAAAAAAACACCCTCCAGAGTGATTAACCTTTGTGCAAGTGAATGTAATTGCCTGTAATTCTAGCCTATATTTTATTGTTTTGTTTCCGTCAGGACGCCCGTCCTCCCCTAGGACATTTAACTCCTTTGAATGCATCCGCATAATAAAGCCGCGCCGTCGAAAGATAAACCTGAACAATTTCGCCACTGACACACATACAAATGGCCTCAAACTTTTTCTTCAAAAACTTTCCACTTATACAGATTTCCTACAAATTTGTTCTCTTGTTCGCGTGTCTTCTTCTCCCCCTTTTGTGTATGTATATATATATATATGTGTCTATGTATATTTTTTTATTTTCGTTGTCCTCCGGCTCATCCTACTTTTATACGCGCCTTTCATCTGAATATGATTCTTTCTGTCAACACGTTTCGGGGCTCTGTTCGAAAGCGGCTGCGGGAGAGACTTAAGGGGTTGGAGTTCTGCGAAATGCAGGGGGGTGGGAAAACACGGCCTGCACTGGGAGAAAACAAGCAAATAGAAGTGGCCGAAACCCGGAAATCCTTTTAACAAATATTTAATGGCACGGAATCGTTTGCCAAGTTTCCGTGCCCATTGTTATTACCCTCAATCAATCCATCCCTGTTTATTTAAATTATAAGTGCAACACGTAAAGCGGCAATATCTGGCGCCCCTTTTAATATTCATATGCACGAACAAACAAACGACTTCACTTCAACCCTGCCGTACAACGTTCAAACTTTATTTTTACCTTTAATTTTTGTTTTACTCTTTCCTTCCTTCTCTTGTACAATAAAAAAAGATTGTATAATATACTTTTATTTCATTTTTCAGCTTTCATAAATTCGCTTGTTCCCTCTCGCCCTTTGCACTAATCGATCAAGGCGTATTTCTTTTTCGGTTTGCTTTTCGCTCAAGAAAACTTCGAACAAAGCTCTACACACACTTGCAGACATCCAACACTTATATAACGCGCGTATACACACGAAACAAATACAACTCCGAGGATTGCGCTTATTAATTATGCATCAGGCGCGCAACTTAAATAATATTTCAAAGTAATAAATTAAGCGAATCGTATAACTAATCCACACCAGATGATCCTCGCCCACTTATTAATACTAATTATATTCGTTAAGTTGGCGCTGAAACAAAAGAGGAGGACGAGATGATATGAAAGAGAAAAAAAAAGAAAGAGGATGCACGCATTCTCGACAGCGTGCTTCCTCTGCGTTAGTCCCAAGTTCTATTTCGAAATCCTCGAATTAACATAACCTGCGGTTCCACAATTGTAACCGGGCTGCGAAACTGAGCGTATTTTGGATGTCAGGTGGCAAGTGTCTGTTTTATGTGGTGAAGTCGACAGTGACGACCCTCGAGTGCTGTGCCTGAAATCCATAACAACGGTTCAAATTATTTAGCATGGAATTTGTCATTTTATACCTCCAACACTCGATCAATTCTCATTTATTTAAGAACACTGCTTATGTGAAAGTACCAGTAGTTGAAATTGATACATACATTGTTGTATATTTTTAAATATATAAATGATGAAATCACTATGATGGTCTAATTAAGGCAACTTTATATGTAATTAACATAAATATTACTTATAATAAAGTAATATATTTCACCAAGTATTGATTAGAGTGAATTCACCTAAGATCCTAAAGGACTGAAAGTTTTCTATGAAACAGTTACTCTTTTATAGAAACTATACATTATTTTGTATGCGTTACTTTGAAAAATCAAAGAGAAGCCAGATGATTTTACTTTTTTTTAAGTATATATTCCAGTAGCTTTCATCTAGAATTCCCTTTTGTGCAGTGGGTAAATGCGGACGGCTGTCTCATAAAATTCATGCCCGACAATGTGTCAAAAAGAAAATTTAGGAAGCGACCATTAATCACGCCGTGAAAATATCCAGCAATAATTGAACATTCTTTGACGCTTCCCCAGGAAACTAAATCGTGACTTTGCAACTAATAGTTTACAATATCCGTGCTCAAAAATGCGAAGCTTCACAGCGGCAGAACTTCGGGACGTCACGTAAACTTCTGTTTGATGGAGGCCCGGGTCTTGGCTAGTGGAGTTCTAGTGTCCTCAAGGGAAGGATTGCACTTGGCACTAGGGGCCATCACTACGTTTTAAAATAAAATACGGTTGCTTTTCACTTGAATATCTTAAATTTTAATTAACACCTTAACTCCAACTATTATTAGGTGTATTTCATTGTTTTCTTAATTTTCTTTACTACAATTATGCAATATACACATATATTTAAGGAAAACATTATTTTTAATATTTTAGTTAATTTGGGAAATGTTGATACGTTGTCATTAAAAAAATAATTAAATTAATTATTTTGACGTATGTTCGTTAAAACGTACATCATAATTTACTGAGAAACGAACATACAAATATCCGTATAAACGTACACTAAATACATTCGTACCAAACGACGGCTATACATGGGTGTTCATATTATGTATTTGATTGTTAATTTAATAAATGTGTTCTTCGAATTATAATAGAAAGAAATAAGGAAAGTAAGTTCAATTACTTTTATATTAAAAAAATCATCATGTTTATTAGTGGTCCAATGAAGGCAATTGACGTTATTTTATGTTTCGTGCTTATTTTCTAAGGTATAATTTAAGGATGTTACTAAAATAATGTATTGTAGATATGTGATAAAACGTAACAATCTTGCTAACGAAAGGACTAACGATAAGTGCATCCTCATTTAAATAATACTAGTAATAAGATTAAAGTGGAAAATCTTAAGGACGAAATCACTAGGTTTAAGGGAGCAATTGCCAAAGGGCGGAAAATCGTTACTTTACATGTATGCATGGATGCGTGGCAATGTGTGTAGTATATATGCGGCTATGTTTCTTCTTCTTTTTTTTTGGTGAAGGCCCTGAATTATGTTTATTGGGTCGTTCCAGACCCGCATAAAAGTCAAACCGTGAATGTTAAGATGCGTACAAACATTTTCCCGGGAATATAATTCGGTCGGGACCCGGGCATATCGTTATAACCGGCAAACCGCAAACACGGATATTCATGTTAGCCTGGTCACGCAACTCCCAGTCTGCACTCATCCTCGGGGCAATTCGCAAAACCAACCCTCACAGAGTCCGCCCCACCTCCCTCCCTTAACACGTGCGTGTAAATTAAACATATTACCTTTCACATTTTTTTTATCAACCCTGAAAATCTGAAACACAACGTTTTTTTTTTCTTCTTGCAGAGTGCCGCTCGCCGACCCCACGCCACCCCCATAAGCGAAAAGGTAAGGGTAAAAAAAATGTGTACATGTAGATTAAAAAATAAATATATAAATGAGCGCATACACACACACTCGTGCACAAATTAAAATTGATTTTTTTTTTGTTGTTGTTGCTTAAATTAAATAGGGTAGAAAATAAATGGGAGATGGGTCATTGCCATTTCTTGCATCGTAAGTTTGGAGTCTCGAAGACATCAAGGTATAATTAAGAGCTTAATTTGGTGAAGCGAAAAATCCAATTACGAAACACTTAAAATAGGGGTTGCGGATGCTATGCTTTGTCTGTACAATTATCTGCAAAGTCATGCATGCTATACATGTATCATTAAATTTCTGTTTATATAGGTGCAACCATACCTGCACTTAACAGAATTGATTAACTATAATGGTCCAATTAAGGCAACTTTATAAAATGAAATTTAAAAAAATGTGCATTCATTGAATTTAAATTTGAATGTAGGAATAATATAGTAGATCTTTAATATAAGTATGGTAAAAAATGTATATGTACATGAAAAAAACGTGATGTTTATATATAATTACTGAAAATTTTCTTATTTTTACATTACTTTGGTGGGCTAATCTAGGAATTAAATAAAAGTGGTCCAATTAACGCAACTGTTGAGGAAAAACAGACAATACAGACAAAATGTACAATATGATAATAAATATAAATAAAATACATTTGTGCACAAATGAAAATTGACTTTTGTACAATTTTTTGCGGAAGAAAAAGTAGTGGATGAAGTCTACAAAATAAATGAGAGACGGGTCATTGCCATACAGGTTTTTGTTGCATTCAAGGTTTTGGAGAGGCTTTGCTCGAAGACATCAAGCTGTAATTAAGAGCTCAATTTGACGGAGGGAAAAATCCAATTTCGAAACACTTGAAACCGTGAGGATGGGGGGTTTTGGGGGGTGGCCGGTGCGCTTCTGCAAGAACGATGGAGAGGAGCGAGTAAGTAATTGCGCTTGACCACTGATATTATTCGAAAACCCTCGCCACCGCCCCCCAGCAATAAAGGAAAAGGGCGCAAAGTTAACGTAATCAGCACGCGACCCTTCCTTACCCTCTCAGACCGAACGGAAATTAACCAATTTTAAGCCTCGACAATATCTATCTGTGTCTCTCACCCTCAGAACGCTCTTTCCATGCGAGGGTACAAATATCAATCCCCAAACCCTCACTAAAACACCCCCTCCGTAAAATTTTCTGATCCTTGATACCACATAATTCGAGCGTATTAAAATAATTGATAAAATAAATAAATACATAAAATTTGAAAAAAAAAACTGAAGCCTCGAACTCGTTAAAGTTTCAATTAGTTCTAGCTTACATCGGGCAAGTTGTTGAAAACTTGGGGCTTAGAGCGAGGAATCAGTAACAATTAATTTAATTTAGTGCCAGAATTCATTTGAAACTCCTCGTCTCCCCTTCGGCGCCGGAGCGCGAATTATGGTTCAATAAAAATAGTTTATTTTTATAGGTTATGAATAATGAAGCTAATTCAATTATGCATGGCGCTGTTAAAAACGCTTTTAAGGGATGGCGAGATGCTCCGTTTTCCACCCCACTATCCTGCCTCATCTTTTCGTCCGCCTCCTTTTACCATAATTTGCGAATATGAAGTCTGATGATGCTACTTGAAGGCAATTAGTTTACACTGAAGGAACATTGCAGATCCGCACTAAAAACATGTTGGTAAAACCATTTAATGGTTGTAAATAGCTGAAGGATCGATAGGTTAAGCCATGATCCTTCCACACTTCAGGTGGATGTTCGCACCTGTCTGTTTGAAACGCAATTCTACTGCTTAATTAACTAGAAACGGATAGTAAACGGAACGTGCAATTATATTTTAATTTTTGCTGCTCTAATAGCACTAGACATTATATAAGACATTAAAGGCGCCGCCTAATCGACTCTTCCGTTTCTGCTTCCAGGAAGAGCTTTTTTTATACAACTTGTAAAGTTACTCGTGTAATCAAGTTAATTTCACATTGGCATAAGCATAAACTTTAACGAGTAATGAAATTGAAAGAAGCTTATATTTTCTTATAAACTTTCCCAAACTACATAGGAAAAAATATAGTTTAAAAATAACTTATCTCATTAATAAAAGAGAAAAAATAACATAACGTTTCTAATTCTAAGGAAAAAAAAATGCAAAATTTTAGGTGTAATCAAATTATTTGCAAAATAATCCTAAAAAGCATTAAGAGTATTTTGTTTTATGCAAATTTACTTTTGTAATCGATTTAATTTTATATTGGTATAAGCATAAACTTTAAACGAAATTTCAATAAAAAAAAGCTTACTTTTTCAATACTTTCCAAAGTTTTCAGAGGGCGAATATCAATATAATTAAGTATTGAAGAAGTTAAATTTTTGATTTCTACAAAGAAAAAAAAACCGAGTCTTTTCTTTCATAAAACTTGTAATCCGAGTATAAAGTTATTTGTATAACAACTTAATAAAAATAATTAACATTATTTAAGGAAAAAAAAATCAATTTTATATAAAAAGAAATACATAATTTATTTAGTATTTATAATTTAATCGCGTTTACATCAAACGTAACTTTAGCCTTTCTATATTCAAGCTATTATTTAAAAAATGTTTAACTTATAAATTCCCAACAGAATAAAGAACTTTTAACGATTTTCTAGTGGTATACTGAAAAAAAAAACCGCTAATAATTACTTAGTTTCCATTGTGAAATACCTCATCATGTGAGGGCGTTTGATTAATAATAAAAATCCGTTTTCACAGTAAAACAATGCATACGGTTTGGATTTTTTAATGAACCAAAAGAAGTAGTGGTAAAGCGCTTCCTGGAACAGTCAGAATCGATTCACACGTTATCCTTTCTCTCTTCATTTTCTACCCCCTGAATAATAGATGATTCTGCAATGTTTTAAAAAAATCGGTCGTTATTCTATGCATAACTATTAATATTAATAATCTATATTGACAATCAGATATCCACAAAATGCATGAATAATCGTTTCAATAATCATTTTCCTATCTCATGATTATTTTTTGAAAGAAAAAAAAATATGTGTTTTCGGAATAATCTGTATTTGATTGACACTTTTGTCTTACATAATATGTAGTGTGTTGGCACCTTATGGCAAATTATTGTTATTATTATTGCAATAGAATTTTTCTTCATTTTCGGCGCAGCCATAGAATCTTAGTTCTAAGTGAGGATCTACCAGTATCTAAATGCAAATATTATAACAAAATAATCCTTATTGAAAATAATTTTATGTTAAAATATGTGAAGTGTTAAATAGTTAAGATTTAGTTGATTCAGCTGAACGGTTGCATTGAGTCAAGTACAATCAATTGTCGCGACAATTGCGATAAATAGGATGAATCAATTGAGGCAATCACCCGAAGAGCAGGTCTTCGAAAATCCAAGACTGTCGCGACGATAGGAAGTGCGAGAAGATTAATTACACGTAAGTGAGAATTATTGGTCGGACGAAGGGGTGGATTTGGGAGGGGGTGCGCATTGAAACAGTGCATACATGGTTTTATGACACGAGAACCATTTATCATGATATATCCCCATGTCCATTAGATGTTGCAATGGGAATTTCTATGGAAAGAATAGAATCGGGCGTGATTTATGTACTGTATATAAATATATATGTATATACACACGCACGGATACCCTCTTCTTTTTTTTTTCCAATGGCTTTACGAGGTAATCCCTCACATCCGTCTAATATTGTTTGTTTTGAGTCATTCAATTGTTTATTGTACTCTTTCATCACTTGCGCGTAGTCTTTTTGTTGTTGTATATTCTTGCACGTCTAGGCAGTTCCAAAATTTGTAAGTCAAATGGTTAGGCATGCAGCAAGGATAATTGATTGAATTGGATATTTAGTTGGTAAGTAATTAAAGTTTCGGACGGGCGGGCGTCACACGCTCGACGGAGCGAAAGGGGTTTTAGCTAATAGATAAAATTGGGGTGGTTGTAGTAAACAGCTAACTGAAGGTATACCACAAAGGTCCTCTTTGGAGTAAACTTGTCGCTGTCGGGGTGGCGTGAAGGACGAAAGCCGCGCATGGGAAGGATAGGATAGGACAGGAACGGAGAGTCGCTTATGCATACCTGAAATTCTATTATAGTGATGGACAGCAAGTTCCCAACATTGCAACCACGTCCAACGGTGAATACCGCAAATTATACGGATACATCCACCCCATCCAAAAGCAACCCTTTCACCGCATAAAACATATGTACATAATATACAACTTTCTCAGATGCTGCGAATCGCTGAGATTTCACCCACAGACAGTTCATACATGTACAGGCGTCTAACCCCAATATTTAATCCCAAAATACAACTCTATACATAATTTTCACACAAAAACAAAATAAATCCTAAACTGTTGATAATTTTTATAATTGCTACAATTGCAGATTTAAAAAATGTAATACAAAGAAAAATATTTTTAATAATTTATTAATTCACATTTCTTTATAGACAAAATAATTTTCGTAATATACATTTTTATTTAAATATAAAATATTGAAACTAAACAAAAAAAATATGTAAGTTTGTTTAATATAACAAAAATTTAAATTATTTGTATTGGACATTATTTACTGATAGATTGGTGATTTTTTTATTTAATGGTTGTAGTTATTATATCCTAAAGTCTCAAGTACTTGAAAATTATATAATAAATCGATCAAGTTGTAATCTAGGATTTAAATGTAATGCTCATATTTCATGGGAATTAAATGGGATTTGAAATTATTACAACAGTAAACTTTTAGTGACACTTCTCTTATGACTACTTAATACTTATTATCATAATAACTTAAAGATATATAATATCAATAAAGTAGTAATCTATAAGTAAATATAATTAGATATAATATTTGAAAAATGGATAGAAATTGACATAACTTTAAGAGAAATTTGATATTTATTATTAATTTAAAATCTTAACAATTATGGACAATGTATACTTTTTTAGGACAAATATAGTCTTTATTATCAATACATCCGAAAAGTATGTGTATGCTACAAAATGTATTATCTGTAACAAAGACAAATGAATAAGATTTGATGTAACTTTGACAAAAGATTATTTAAGCTTAAATCTATTTTTCTTATTGAAATTCTCTATAACTCATAAACTGTGCTTTTCTTCTTTAATAAAAGAAAAAACGAACCACCCTGTATATAAATATTATTTTTTCTACTCCGACCCCTGCAGGGTGATAAATTTCCCTTTTCCATTAAGAATTTGAAACAACGCCAAATATCATATCTATCGGTTTTAGCGCTGACTTGCCCACGTTAATATCTATACAGATTTTGTTACAAGAAAACCTATTGTTTTCAGAGCGGATAAGCTCTGCGTATAAACCTAATCCAATTCTCTCAAGGATTAATTAGTTTAATTAAATAATTAAAGTAATTGCATATACATATAAAGTGTTATTTCTATAATACTTTCGATTTTATATTTTGTGTAAATTTTCTGGAAACCTTAAATTATATTGTGAACATTTTTTTTCCGGTCTAAATTGATTTGTTTCGAATCTTCCAGATTGAATATCGATCAAATTATTCCAAAAAAAAAAATCAATCAAACAAACTAAAATAATGAAAAAAAAAGAAAACAAACCTATAATAGAAAAGCGAGTAAAAAAACGAAACGGTTTTGTTGTCCGGTGCAATCTAGATTTTCCTCGTTGCGCTAAAAAAGCAATAACTAATCGGAATTGGTTTAAAAACAAATTATCGTTAACAAAACAACTATCGAAACGATTCCATTAAAACTGAAGTGATTGCTCCGGTGATTAGATCCTCTTTTTATTTCCAACGAACGAAAAAATATCACACAACAGTTGTATGCTTATACAACAGTTTTTTTTGTAACTAAAATCTGTAATTTGTAAACAATTAATTAATTAAATACTAAATTAAGTGTTTATAAATAAGAAGAATGAAATTGTTATAAATTAGATTGTTGTAGTTTGACCTTTTAGGAACTAGCGGCGAATATATCCGACCTACTCTTACACAGGAGACTTAACTTATGCAAAATTGCAGTCCTAAATGCATTGATCTGTAGATGCGCCAATAAAACACAGTAGTTTCGCAAAAAGCAGTTGGAAATGCGACCTTCTTCCGCAAATCGTTAATGATTGCCATTGGCTACATCCACTTTGACAAAGCTCTTCGACAAGAAGAGACGTTCAATAAAAATAATCGCATTATCTCAAAGAAAAGAAAAGAACTATTTTAGAGATGAGTCTTAATGTCTATGTCTCGTTTTAAGTTAAAGTTGGAAGGAAATTACAGAACTTCTCATTTGAAGGAACTTTCGTTTAAGACAGGGTGAAATCATCAGCGAAAGCCGGTCCCGGAATCGTACTAAATTTAGCCCCCCGAAGACATGCACTAAAAATGGCATAACTACAAGGCGTTCATAAAGTCGTAAACTGCGGAAAATTAATAAGAAGCGAAATTAATACAGGCCGTTTACGGAGTGGCGAAGTTTGGCAATAAATTTAGGAAAATTGGGCCCGCATTCAGAACGTGGCACATTATTTCAGGCGCGATATGGATGGAGGGATTTCAAGCAGCACAGACCCCTTTCCAAACGTCAGTTCAGAGTGCTCCTCCGATGTCCACAGAGTAATTGTATGATTTTTTTTTATATACATTGCTTTCTCTCATTTTCTCTGTCTCCCTTGGCTCGTCGATTTTAATTAACGACGATTCATTTCGCCATTGTGTGGAATAGAATTTCGAGCAAATATTTAAATGCGCCATGAGGAAACTCGTGATCTGTTTGCTAAGGCTCTTCAGTCTCTAGGATTTTAAGTGATTGAACGTCTTAATATCCATCTCGGATGTGTAAAGGACGAGGGCCGTGGGATGAAGGGATGGGACGGCCATCGGCGACATTGCCTCTGGATTTTGTTTTCCACTCTCCCTTTCCACTACTCCATTCTCTGCATAACAATAAATATTTGTGAGCTAAATGGATTTTAATGGTCTAAGGGGATGCAGCACTTCCATCCCCCCCTCAGAACAGCAACAACAAATATATATATATATCTATATATATTTATTCGAGAGCGACAAGGGGAATGAGAGTTTTTCAGCACTTTTTCCGGGCGACCGGAATTGCCGCGGTTTGCGAAAACTTTTTTGTTTTAAACTTGACAATCAATTTAATTGATTCCGCATATATACAGAGTGTTCCGAACGTTTCATCCGACTTTCCTTTAGAGGGGATGCGAGCTTTTAAAGCCCTCATCGGCGGATGCCGTAATCCTGAAATAGACGGCCGCTTGTTCGCAGGTTTCCATCCTAACTACCAATCAACCGCATCCTTGCCTGTTACTATAAATGCTAATTAATGGTCTTTGTTTCTTTTCGAACTAACCTTTTCCTACTCCAGATTATTCAGTACGATATAAAAACTTTAAAGCCATAATAACAAAGCAAATTCGTATTGATTTCATTGAAACCTACATTAAAAAGAAAACGTTGAAGAAATAATTACAAATCGTTTCTTTTTAATCAATAAATTTTAATGATTTCATTATTTAATAATTAAGAATTATAATCATTATTCTAACTAATTTGCACTTATTTCTTTGAATTAATATTTATGTACTCCAAAAAAAATATAAGATTATAAATAATAACGAAAAAACTGAATTGATATAAAACTTATTGTTTGCAAAGCTTTGTCAAGTTACGAACACACCTCTCGCATATTCTAATGGTGTATGCATACTACTCGATACTAGACAAATAAAGTTGAAGTGCGTTCTTTTATCTACCCGATGTTTGATATGACTCAGAAATATTTGACAGATGTACTATTGGTAGTGACACTGAAATTGAACCGAAACTAATCCTGATATACATTAACACATTACAAAACACATTTTATGTCAATTGGATAATTTTTAATAGTAACATTTTCCTTATTATATTACATCATTAAAAATATTAAAATTTCTCGACTGAAATTTTATAATTTTTATATATAAGGTTTCTGTTAAAAAAAAAAATGTGTTTAAGATTTTCTAAGTGTATCGAATTATGTAATTTTGTAATGTATTGTTGCTTGTCTCCAAACTATAAAAAATAAAAACTAACTTTCTTATATCGTTTAATGGTTAATTTAAAAAAAAAATATAGAGAAAAAAAAAATGGTTCATTGAACAGAAGTCAAATTGACAATGTTGCAAGTAGTAATTACGTAAAGTCGGTGCAGGAATATAGTGTTTCCTTGAGTCGTGTGCAATGTAAATTAATAGTTTGTAACACAATGTCTAAGTTGTCAGACGTTGTAATTAGAATGAGACGCGCAGCCTGGATGCAAGATGTGTTACAACACCTTGAGAAGTTTTACAAATCGAATTATTGAAAATGTAGAGCACCAGATCGTACAACTCCTTAAAACGTGTTTTATTGGCATAGTAAAGTTAGTTTTGCTGAAGAAACTCGAACGTAAAATAAAAGTAATTACGATCATCAAACGAAGCAAATGATCTGTTTTAATAACTTTCATAACAAGGAAAAAAAATAAAATCGATTCGTTAAAAAAAAAACTAAAGGCCTTTTATACGCTTTTTGTACATATATATTTACTTTTATACATGCATAAAGAGTTTTGTACGTACGGTATAATTTCATGTAAAAAATACCACGAAGCGTTCGTGGAGTACAGCTGTGGCTCAATTAAAGGAATGAATAAATCAAAGCGAATAGTGAAATGAAAAAAAGAAAAACGCAGGTGAAGTAAAACGCGCCTGGGGACACAGATAGGAGTTGGATTGAGAGGGTAAAAAATATGGTATGTAGAACCGCGGATAAATATAGTTATTAGATAATGTGTGATTTTTAATTTGATAATTTCGATGGCGTGACGGGTGCAAATAAGGGTTTATGTGTGTGTGTATGTACGCGAGACGACTAAGGGGGTTGCTGTAATTAGAAGGGGGTACGTCTATTATTTCTTTAGTGACAGTTGCTCAGCGAATTTGACGCGAGTGGTTTCTGGAATTGGGAATGGGAGCTCTCTCGTTCCCATCCCATTCCATCCAACGGAGCTCCTGGTTCTAATTAGAGCTGTTTGTACAGCTGTACTCCGTTTAACCTGGCTTCTTGTCACACTAATACCACCAGCACGCACCAATCCACATCAACATCACTTTGCATCTGTTACACACAAAATTAATTATATACTATAGCTTAACCAATCCTCGCTCATTATTTCATGAAACGAAAACTCTTCTTTCAGATCCACATAACCACACCCCAAATCACATCAAGCTTCTCTGCTTTTATGGTAAGTACTGAAACGTTCTTTTTTTCTAAATCATCTTTCTTTATTATCATTACTTTTATCTCTCTTTTTCTCTCACATACTTTTTAATCGTACTCAATTTAGTATACGCAATATAACCAACATTAATGAGCAACTTCATCACAATTTCCTTCCGTTAATTAACAGATGTTCTTATTTTT